GCAGCCCTGCATAAGCACATTACAGTAACACAAAAAACCTGAAACTAAGGCATGTGGCATGATTACACCTCTCAAGGAATGGGTATAGTTGGTTCCCCAACCTCAGCTATGCAAAAGCAATTGTGGTCACTGCTGAAACCTTAGCACTCACACTGAATGTGAATGCTGGAGTTTCCCAGAATTATTAAGTCAACTTTTCAAAGAGACTGCAGCCTCATCAAAAACAATGCAATCCCAGGTCCCTGATAGGTCTTTCTACTGAGAAGAGGTACATCCTTCTTGTCTAGATTACATTTCAATTTGCTGGCCCTCATTTGGTCCTTCACCAATAGCAGACATCAGTTCAGAACATCAACAACTATAGAGTGGGATGCAGAAAGGCAGACAGACTTAGGTGTCATCTCCATAGTAATACCACCAAACTTCAAACCCTAGACAGTGGTTTCATGTAGATGTTAAGTAGCAGGGAGACAGAAAAGCACCTGTGGAATACCAGAGGCCATTGAACAGTAGTCCTGCAGGAGCAGCCTCTGGATTTCTATTTCACAAATGACTGAAACAACCACAAAATAGTGCCACCCAATCTTCCCCCAGTCATGGTGGATAGTATCAAACGTCATTATGAGATCTAGCAGAACTGACAGGAACAACCACACCTTGTCTAGTTCCTGGTGAAGGCCTGACAATGGATGAAATGGATCTAGATCTTCTGTCTTATCCAGAAGCCTGGAGTTATGATGCTACGACATGCTCAAACCTTGCCTAACAATGGAATACTGGAGACTAGCCAGAAATTACCTAAACCACTGTAATTCAGGGAGGACTTCCAACATACAACAAAAACCTTACCACCACTTTTTAGATCCAGGTAACCACTACTGTGAACAACTCAGACATCATTCCCTCTCTGATAGCTTAGATAAACCAGGAAGGACAAGGGTCAGCACATATGTGGCAAGTCTCACTGTTCCAAAAATGCTATCCCCGTCTACAAACTCATCTCTACAAATTGACAGTTGGACAAGCAGATACCAAAGGTCCAGTCTGCAGTAACTGTGGTCCCAGGTCAGAACAGATAGATATCAGAGATTTTATCTACATAGTCCTTTGTAAAAGGGTCAAAGCAGGACTGAGTTGTCCTTATTACTATTTGGTAATAGGACCCTGACAATCCCCTAAAGCAGGCCTTCACATAAAACATAGTTTAGTTATGCAGATTATGATTTCATGTTGGGGCTGAACTTAGCCAGTGTTGCTAATAAATGTGGGAAATCAGAGTACACTGTTAACCTATTTCCCCCCAAGAAAAATAAATTTCATAGGCTACATTTTTCACTAGCATGCCATAAAGCCTGCATAACCTTTTCACAACTCTGTGGTAATTACTATGCAAGTCACATCATGGTACTTAAATAAGCCATTATTCTCATATTTCCCCTTTGCACATAATCTGCATCTATTGATTTATTAACCAATAACTATTTTACTTTGATGCTTTTCTGTCAGCTACTAATATTATATAAAACTTGTGATGGTTGCTTCAGGTTTGTTAAGATTTTACAAACACTGCAAAAAAAACTTGAGATTACTGGCAATGTAGATATTTCATTCATCTTAGCTAGAAGCATCACTGTGCCCTCCAATTGGTTTACAGCAAAGCAATCTATTATAGAAGAAGTCACAAAGCAGTACTTTCCCCACTTTAATATACTTGATCATCAACCATGCTATAACATCCACCTTTGTGTTTGCACAGCTAAGATCTTTCTAATATATGTAGTCAAACTCCTAAATTCCAGGGGGCTTATAAATTTACCATATAAATTCACAGCAGCCTTAATTTGTCACACAAACCTTGCTTTCAGAGAGCACAATTTTCAATGGCTGTTGGTTAAAGCAAGTGTTTGGCAGCTCAATGAGTATATTGGGAACCCAAGCTGAAAATGAATTCAAAACTTCAACTAAGAATGATGGCAGTCTGTATAACCTAATGTTTCATGGAATTACAGCTTTTAACCATTTAATTTATATAAGAATGTACTACTTAACTTTAAGCTGATTTACAATGAATTTTTAATACTTAAACAAATAGCCTGAAGTTTTTAAGGATCACGAATGCAGCATGCAATTGACCTAATAGATGAGAGTAGTTCCCATTGCATTGTTAAGCTGAAAATTAAGAAGGATATGCCACAACAGACACCAATAATTATTCTAAAGAAGTAACTACACCATATTAATCATGAATCTACTTTTATATAAAAGCATTAAAGGCAGGTTTTAAATATGAAGTTTCAAGCTCATAATTATTCAGACAACAATAGGCCCCACAGAACCATTACCATGTAGCAAAACCATAATTAGCTTTCATAGTTCTTTTGCATATAAATCTTCAATTTGCAGAAAGCAAGCAAATATTTGCAAGAATGTTTTAAACTGAAGAAGACAAGGAATGACTGCTATGTGAGCAGTTTCTTTGTGACATCAAATTATTAAAGCTAAATGATTTTGTAAGGGAAGTCATGGAATCTACAACACAGATAAACAAACTTTCTTAAGAGACTTATTCAGTAGTAACAGTTTTTGATATCATGCAAAGGCACATGAAAAGGCATGACCTACTAAACTATGAAATACTACTCCCTGCAAAATATCTATGGCCATATCAGGATCTACCATATGTGGCTAGATATGTCTGCCTATACAAACAGTACTTATCCCTTACATGCAATGTAGGAAATGAGAAACAGGAACAAGATTAAATAGGTCAATTTGTTTTTTCCCCCTAAGGTCCCATGGTTTACCAATCTTAACTGGCAATCTTAAACGCTCAATATCATTATACTGTTTAGCTACACTAACCAGTGAATAAAAACGGAACGGAAGCAAACTTATCCCAACAGGTAGTTCCACAGTCAAGGAGCAGCCACTCAGAACTCCACTCAGAACTCCACCAAACACTCCTCTGAAGGAAGCAGTCTAAAATTAGGTCCTCTTCCAAGATATTAAGAGATGAATACAGGTGGTCTTCCAGGAAGCCTGGACACAAGGCACACAAGGCTTCACTGTAAAAAGAGGATGATTTTAAAAAGGCTTACCTTGCATAGCTTTTTCTGCACTGCTCATCATTTCTGCTCATTCTAAACATATTCCAGCCATCAAAGTCATGCCAGGACACCTCGTTTTTGTAACCCTAACCCCACCAAGGTGCACACCCCTAGCCCTAATACAGAGCTAAAGTTCCACTGAAAAGAGGGTGATTTTGAAAAGGCCTTCTTTGCGTAGCTTTTCTTGCACTGCTCATCATTTCTGCCCATTCTAAACACATTCCAACCATCAAAATCATGCCAGGACACCTCATTTTTGTAACCCTAACCCAGTGATGGTGAACCTTTTACAGACCGAGTGCCCAAGCTGCACCCCAAAACCCACTTATTTATCACAAAGTGCCAACACTGCAATATTAACTGAAAACTGAGATTTTAGTTTAGAAAAAAACAGCTCACAGCCAGTCCAAGCATGCATACATGCATGCATGCATGCATAGATAGATAGACAGATAGATAGATCGATCGATCCTTGGCAGCACACTGATCAGCCATGCGAAAGCCCCCGACGAGTTACGGCTAATCAGTTGCGGCTTGTGACATCATCACCTGGTGCCACTGCTCCTTTCCGAGCATGCACGTGGCCCTGTGTGCACTGTTATCCAATGCTTGGCTGCTGGGGCGATGCTGTGCCGACAGAGATGGCTCTGCATGCTCACTGTGGCACGTATGCCATGGGTTCGCCACCACTGCTCTACAGCATCTAAAGTCTTCAAAGGCACCTTCACATAGAGCACTGTTACAGAAGTCTAAATGATATTTGCAAATTGTAGAAAGTTCTTCTCAAAAACATGAATTCTCAACCATCCCTATTGTGTTAGCAGCCTTGCCTTAAATATTCCCTCCAAAGCCTGTCAGAATCTGAGAAAATGCAGAATTAACTTTTCATTCACTATTACCTTAATTCCAAATGCATAGCATCCAAATTTGTCAGCTGTCAAAAACAACAGCTGCAGTAAATGAAAAATTCCATCTCAGCAAACCATTATGAGAATGAGCCTTGTAATGGTGCATGCAGTCCATGCATTCTTGTTATGCTCCTCCCTTAGTCTAAACTAGTAAACAAAGCAGGAAAAGGAAGCTTTGCATGATGTTGAAACATAGGATTTTTTTCACTGTCCCTAAACATTTAAATACAACTGAGTATCATTTAAGCCAGCAGTCAGGCTGGATAGAAATTATCCAGGGTTCATAAGCTAACAAGAAACTCTGGCTTAAAACTGGCTTAAGAGGCTGTCTTACAAACCTAATTTATTTGGCTACAATGTATCATTAATTACAGGTTTGGATGCCATGGGTTAAACGCCATTCACATCATGTTTTATTAAGCCAGAATGTTTGTCTTATTTTATAGTGCTAATTTGGCCAGTAAAATCATGACATTTCTCATTCTTGGTTTCTTTTCCAGGACTCCATCATTAAAACAAAACTAAACATGAATTAAAAACTAATATTAGAAATTTATCTTCTTTTAAACTTACTCAGAATTATCACAAAATACACAACTAATTTTATGGAGTGTATTTAAAACAGCAACAGTCCTAGAAGTGCCACTGCATTGCTCCCAAACTATAGAAATTAAGAGGTAGTTTCTGCTTTCTACTATGGTATTCTAGATTGACATCATCTTTTACACTTCAAAATAGGGCACTATTTGGCCTCAGGAAATTTCTGATACACCCAGTCACACATTGTAGATGCTACTAAAGAATGCCACACACTTTATAAAGCAGCTATAAGGCTGAATGGAAGGCAATGTTTAGGCTACATGAAACCATGCTAAATCTTCCTGTGTATAACAACATGCCAACAAGCAAAAAATGTAAGAAAGAAGAGGGTAAGTTCATGGAAAAGACACAAACATGAAGTGGGAAAAAGTGTAAAAGTGATTACCTTTGTCTTATTTTTCATTAGAAAGAGCAGATTCCCTTTCAGACGACACCAGCTCTCTCTTGGCTCTGCATGCAAAGTAAGCATAATTAATAAGTAATCATTATTGATAATAATAATATCCTTTTTCATATACTGATTTATTCCTAAAGAAGATGCTTTTGTAACAAAGTTCAGGGGTGCAGGTGGAAGAGAAATAGTTAATGAAAAGCCAGCTTCACTTGGCAGCTGATGTAGAAAATGCTGCTAAATGCCAGCTAAACTTCCCAGAAGGTTTTCTCTATTCTGCAGCTGACAGAATTGGTTGATTGCAGCACACTGTATGTGTGTTTTCTCTGCTTCACTCCATTTTGCAAAAGGAAGCACAGATCAGATGAATCCTTTCACATGATGCAACTATAGATAGCTCTAACAGATTATCAAGCAAATATCATTCAGAAAATGCTATGCTTACTATTTGCATTAAATTAACAGGCTTTCCATTTTAAAGACCCACTGATCAAGAAACAAAAATGCAGGGACAGATAGACAGCATTTCCTATGATTTGTTTTATTTTTGCTATTTCTAATGCACAGCACTAAGGCATAAGCACACGATGAGAAGGTGAGTGACAATGCTTTTCTTCAAAGTACAACTTCCTTAATTAAAAGCAAACACCATACCAGTCAGATGCTTTTTTAAAGTTTTTTCCCTATGTAAAACTCTGTTCAATATAATTAAGTCTCATTTGGGAAAAAAAGCAGGGCGGGAGGAGTCCAAGATTCTAAGAATAATATGAAGGGAATTCAATTTCTAGGGAGAAAAGTAATTTGCAGGGGGCAAAGTTCCCTATCAAAAGGCTGCAAGTATTCCTCTGCTCTGTAGAAACACATTCAACATTGTGAAGATTTCCATCTTGATTTGTATAAACAAAATTAATCAGCCAAATTTCCATTCACTGCAAGTGATGCTGAGCAAGTAGGATGAATGAGAAGAAGGGGCCAGAATGAGAAGAGGCCAAAAACACAACAGGGTTATCCCACTGGGCCTCTTCAGTGAGAGGTAATATACATCACTGAGGAACCCCAACACTCCCCAACTAGGTAAGACCATTAAGTGCAAAGCCTAAAATTGGATTATTTTATGTTCAAAGGATGCAACCATTGATGCATGTAAGTTTATGAACATGAAATCTTACATGTATCCAAGGTAAGCAGAGCTGGGGCAGCTTTTGCCACCCTACACCTGGCACCGTAGATTTCATTTAAATGACTCTTTTTGGGCATCTAAAGGAAGCTGCAAAGAGGGAGCAAAGGATGCTGAGGTTCCTCCTGGAGAGTTGCAGTGCCCCAGCTTCCTCTTTTCCTCCCTTTTAGCCTTCCCCAAGGTCAATTTCTGTGCTTTCCATACTGGTCGTGGAGGTGGGGATGGACAGGGGCTTTGCATTCACAGTCTCAGCTCCAGGGTCAGATCACCTTGGAACTGGGTTCCGAATAATTCGATGATCCCAACAATATTAGGAGGCCCCAGGATGGCACCCTATAGGACCACTTCAACTATTCCTATTTACCAAAGCCATTTACCTGTCTTTGTTTCTAGTAGATCACTGTTAGTATTGTTGCCTGTGCAAAATACCTGTGCAAAATAAGCTTATACCTGTGAATTTATACTGTGCAGGATTCTCCCCATCCCTTTTTTTTTGGCCCAGGTTTGATCCAGGTTTGGAATTCTGTTTTGTCCCTTTGTTTGCTAGCACCAAGTCATTTGTATCACAGAAAGAGAGGGGGCTGAAAATGAAAATGAGAGGGCTCCCTTAATCCTTCATTTAACACCACTTTCCCCACTCTTATGTTTCCATGCTTAACATACTATTCACAGGCAAAGTATTCCTGCTCCTCACCAGAATTCTGCTTCTCCCATGCATGCAGAAATCATGTCACCTAATCAGTAGTTTGGCCCTAACTGTAAGAGGATAACTTGTCTCATTCCACTGTGTCAATTAATCCAGTTAGCAGCCAACACCATAACCATTGCTTTAATTCATGTTTGCATATAGCAGTGAGAGTCTAATCCACCATAACTATGGCAGAAAAGTAATTAGTTAGAAAGGAGTTTAGCTGCACTTAAGCATTAGCAAAGAAGAAAACAGAGTGTATCAGCAAATCTGTGAATACTAAAACTTTAAGCTGACAACAGCTGTCAAACATACATGCACAGACAACTGCCAATGCCAGTTATTTTTACCTATACATTTACCATCCCCGAACACTCTGCATATCTTCAGGTTTCCTTCCTTGTCAAAATAAGATGATGGCCTTCTAGCCAGTGAAGCCAATTCCTTAGCATTGTATCGTATCCGACTGCTCATGAAGAGGAGAGGTATAAAATAATAGGGATGCTAATGAACTGGTTGAAAGTGCACAAGATCTATTCAGCAGGCAAGGTGAACTGCAATGTTAAAACAAAAAGAAGGTGTAATATACAGTTACGGCATGATATCTTCTATAGTAAATACATAAAAATGCTGTAGATAAATAACAATGAATAAATAAGGTCTGACAGGAAACATGAAATTGAAATGGTCCTATTTTCAAATCAACCAAGGTATTACAGAAATTAACAATTAATAAATTATTTAAGAAATAATTAATTTGTTAACAAATAAAAAAACCAATAATATCTTCACAAAATCCCAGCATGTCCAATTATGAGTGCAAAAGAGAATTGGGCAGCTGACAAGAAAATAGCACCATGCTTTTGCTCTGATTCATTAGCACCAGTAATGCTTTTGATATGATTCCATGAGAAGCAAAGACCAGGTAAAAAGGAATGCCAATATCTGGCTTGAGACCAGCATTTCTGAAAGACTGTCTTTTCCCCTACAGAACTGCCTTTTTCATTAAGGTTACATGGATAGCTACTAGAGACAGGGGGTTTTCAATGGTGACATCTGTCTTTGAATGCCCTTTCCAAAGAGGTCCAAATTAGCATTGCCACTCTTATCCTTTAGGTACCAATATTTTCTAACTTAATTCTTGTGAGAAGTCCCCCAAATCTACTGATTTTTGCTGATGCCTTTGACATCATTTGGAATGATTTTTTTTTCTCTTTCCTGATAGATGACCTATGACACTCTAAACTGTTAAAGAGATATTATTTACTGCTTATCTCTTTTTTCCAAGGAACATAAGATGGCATACCCGATTCTCCTCCCATCCATTTTAGGATTTGAAATAACAATGCTCTGAGAAAGCTTAGGCGGAGAGACAGATACTGCCTTGAGTCAACCTGGGACCCTTATGGAGCAGGCTTGTCCACCAAGGTTCTAGACAGAGTACTCTAGGACAGGGGTCCTCAGACTTTTTGAATAGGGGGCCAGTTGAAAGGCTGTGGTGACCATCTTGGGCTGGCGAGGTGGGGGTGCCTGGGGGCACGGGCCGGTGAGGTGCTGTCAGGCATGCGCGAGGTGGCATCGGGTGCGTGCAAGGCGGCATCGGGTGTGTGTGACGGTGGCTCGCTCGCCCAGAGATCTCCCAGTGAGTCAAAAACCATCTTCGATGCGCAGCAAGTGCAAGCGGGGAACAGCAGCATGGGCTGGATGGAAGGCCATGGCGGGCCGGATCCATCCCATGAGCCATAGTTTGAGGACCCATGCTCTAGGAGGCTGAAGACAGTATCCCATAGTCTCTCGCACACTGCACACTGCTCCATGGGAAAATCCTGAAGAGGAGGAGGGATGTGGGGCAAGGTCTGTGAAGCTCCTTCCACTGGGAGAAACAAGCTGTTCACTTGCAGGCACTTCGCTGCCTTGCCCTTAAGCAGCAAGTACCTCCTTGAGGGTGGAGCTAGAAGCTTTACTGAAAGCTTTACTTCATTATGGGGAACTTTCCAGTTTGGATTCAACTCTTTTTGTGAGTACTGGCTTCTCTTTTTCAGGTAGAAAGCTATTTAGAGCTCAATCTGTGGAGTCCAAATAAAAGAACTGCATTTTCAAAGATTCTCCTGAGCTTTGGAACCAGAAGGAAGTAAGGCGGTGACAAGCTCATGGCAAAGGTAAAAGCAATGTTAGAAGGGCCATATTAACAATGGATTTTTACTGCTCACCCAGATATATAGCATTCCAAACATCATTCATTCAAGTGTGATGGGGTATGCATTCAGAGGAAAGGTCTGATAGATTTCTGTGAAAACTGCAACACAGTTTACTAGAGATTTTTCCAGCACTGGTGATGATAGTGGAGAAAGCTATGGGAAGTTTCTTATTACTAAGACAGTGTGTGCATTCTCCTATGGCTGAGGCAGAAAGTAAATTTGGTGAAAGAAGGTTCCTGAAGCCCACTAGTAAGAGGACTGACAGCATTATAAAGGGATATCCTTCAGCATGACTGGCTCACACAACCACAATTTAATGGCTTGGAGCTAAGAAACAGGGATGTGGTCCTCCCTTATAACAGACTAGGTGTCCCTCAAATGTTTTGGATTACAACTCCCCAAATTCCTGATCTTTGCCCATGCAGTATGGGACTTAACAATTTCTCTTGCATCATACTTTTGAATCAACTAGGCAAAGTTGTGTTGTTGCAGATACAATTAATTTAAAAAGCTGTGTCCCAGTTTACTCCAGGCCCCAAATCCGACATCTCTCCACTTTATTCACCATTGTGTCTGCAAATGATTCACCAAACACACAACTGCAGACAAGAACAAAAATAGAAAAGTGGAGGATAGAAGCCAAAATGGAGTGTCCTTGTCTGGATGCTCCATTTTATAATTAAATAGATGCATGGGAACATGAAGTATTCTGTGCTAAGCATGCAAGCCAAAAAAGGGAGAACTGTTCGATTCCTTGACGTCGAAATGATGCTACTTGCAAACATCAGAATCAACAGCTGCTACCTCTAGTAAAAGCAAACAAAATTGGTTTACTGAGATTGCAACTATTCATTGACAGTACTTTGCAAATCACAACCTCCCTATGAAGCATCTGCACTACTTTCAATATAATTTGCATCCAATCTGGATAAACAATGAACAGTGTTTTGTCAGTTCAGTGTAGCTACCATACAACAATCTTCACCAAACCCACTCCCGAACAAGCAAGGGCAAAATAATACGATCTTGGTAACCAAGAAAGCTCAAGGAGGGGTGGTGCATCACAGCAGCTATACTAGCTTACCAGAAAAACAAAGAGGTTTTCTGGAAGAAGGAGCCTGTTGTGGAGCTCTAAAAAGCATCTGAAAGGGTTCCTCTCTCATCTTGTTTTGCTGTTCATATTGGTAGACTGAAAAGAAGCAGACAGACCACTGTTTTCAGTCTTTCAGTGGTGATTTTGCTCAGTTGATATTATGCTTTAGTTTCTCTCTCTTTTCATGCAGCAAAGTTGCTTCCCCTGAAGCAGTCTCTTTTGCTTCCCTTCCCCAACACTATCCTCCTCCTGGAACACAACAGCAGCTGCTAAAAAACCTTTACAGAATCAGACTTCCCTCCCAATTCTCCCTGAAAACATATTCTTTCCAAAGACCTCCCAGTCAACAAACTCCTGCCACTTCATTCCAATGTCAAGTAGACTTTTTACAACAATGACAACAGGACAGTTTGCTTGATAATGTGTGTATGGGAAAAAGGAAGGAATCATTTCAGATCTCATAACGACTGTACTAGCTCAAACTGCAAACCCTATAGAGCAGCCATTACACAGTGGCCAATCAAACACCAGTAAGAAGTCCCCAAGTGAGCACAATATTCTTCTTCTGCTCATGTTCCCAAACTGAACAGTGTAACTGAGAAGCATAGTGCCTCTGATACTGGAGGTAATATACAGTCACTTGTAATCACTGATTGCCTTTTTCCTTCCCTTTGTGTTTTTACCTCTGCAGCTTAACTCTGTTCCCTAGGCCTCTTGCAACTGGCTTCTATCCTTCACTTTTCCATACAAGAAATAGTGAGGGCAGGGGGCGGGGGGAGACAAACTCCATTAATCCTGAAGTTTATTTTAAAAAGAAGCAAACAACAAAGACAAGGTAGTGAACAGAAGAAATAAAAATATGGGGTGGATTTCTCTGGGAAACTGGAAATACCCTTCTAGCCTTCTTCAATGCTTGTTTAGGAAGCAAAGACTTATAGGGAAATGATGCCATCTGCATTATTAGCTCATCTCCTTCATTTTGTGAGAAAATCATACTGCCACTTGTTGGATTCAAAGAAAAAGGCACTCTGCACATGATGGAGGCTGGCAGCTCCCACATCCATGAGACTCTGTATGTGAATTGCAGTCTGACCTTTTAAGGAGCTGTCCATGGTAGTAATCCAAGCTGAGCAACGGTGGATACAGTTCAGCTCCACGGACTGTACAGCTCCTTTAATGGTCAGAGTGGCTATACCACCCCAATGACATTGAGCATCAAATGGCACTTTTATAATATTCGTACTTGCTAGCAAATAAAAAATGTTGGCTTCTAAATCATATTTTGCAGACCTCTTCCAAGCAATAGTAAAGTAAAAGCTCAAAATTACAGCTGCAGGAAGGTCAGCAGTAGCAATATCAAATGTTCCTGCTGCTTCTTAGTGTGATTTGAACAGTGATTTGAAAATTAAGCATTTAACATTTTCTTCCAAATTCTCATTTTTCTGGAATGAATACACAGATACTCTGTTCAAGACTGACAAAATCAGGTCACAACATTTTATAGTTCTATTTGCACTGAGTTTAGTTTAAAGCAGTTACATTTGGTATCAACATTACTGCAAATGTCTTTTTTAGATTGAAGTTTTTTAGTAGCTTATCAGCCTTCACTGTCCTGGAAATCTTCCTAATCAACTTTTCTTCCTTCACAGCAATGCTAGTTTCACTAAGTTAGGGATTCTAAAATATGGATAGTGATCATACTTGATCTTCTGTTCTTCTAAATATCACAGACAGTTTCCTAATTCTAAACAAAAGCATAAGAACTTGATAGTAAAATTTTCTATCCAAAAATTACATTTTCTGCATGATTCAGTTAAGAACTACATTATGAAAGCACAGAGGTTAAGAACTACATTATTAAAGAACAGCTATTTAATTACTGTATTCCACTTTGATGCTTTTTAGCAGATAAGATGGTATATAGATGTCAATAATAGATACTATAGAAATGGATCAAAGTGAATACTGTAGATACCAATAGTGACATTGTTCTGCAAGATGTTGTTCAAGAGCTACTGAAACTCTGTGTGTAATATGAATTTAGTGTAAGCCATTGTGTACAATACCCTGTGCTAAAAAAGATGTAAATGTCCTTCATTCCCTCTTAATTTCCCTCTCTAACACACTGAGAAAAGTAAGTACTTAGAACTGGATCACCAAGAGAGTCTGATGATGGTACCATGAGTACAAGAATGCAAGAGAAAGGAAATGGAAACAAAAAAATTTAAGAGAGTCAGACCACTCTGAAGTTTGCATAAATTCA